CTCATCTGTCAGCTTGAAGAGGAGACACTTCAGCAGCAGGTACAACAGCTCTGCCTGTTACTGGGCCAGTTCATTTATCTTATTCTTCAAGTGGAGTGCACCCAAAACAAGAATCTAGCCAATCAAGTCTTTGTATGCCTGGAAAAACTGGGCAGCTTGTTTCTCAAACCTGAAGATTTGACCGTCTTACTCTTTGAAGCAGACACAACTGCTCTACCCCAGGCCATTACTGCATTTGGGTCCCTCAAGACCATCTACATTCCTGAACAGTTGGTGGCTCATACTAGTTCATCAAATATTGGATCCTTCATGGAGCAGAAGTCAGCATTTAGCACCGCAGTTGTCCTTTTTAGTGAATGGCTCCTTGGAAGCAAACATGCCAGTGGTCGTCAGGCTTCTTACACACCTAGCACTAATTTCTATGACTGGCTCACCCAAAATCAGACTTTGGAGAACAGTTAGACTTCTGCCAGAGCCTGCGATTTCTTTAATGTCTGAGGCAACCTTTAAGGAGCTTGGAAAACTGGTTCCATAAAGAGGCAGCAACAAGAAGTTTCTGAAAAACCAAGTTACCAAAAGGGTAACAGTTATTCTACCACCAGTTCTTACTCCATAGTACCTAAAAGGTTAAAAATCTAGAGCTTCTCGATCAAGGTGAGATGGATTTTTCTGATTGGCTGGTGACTCCCCAGGAATCAAACAAACTGTGAAACCCTGGGAATGGCAGCTATGAAACCAGTGAGAATTTTAAGCTCTTGTTTTGGGTGTTCCAGGAGTGTTATAGAGTGAATGATTGGATTGTCAAGCCTGGCTCCTATACCAATTGTTGGAGCAACCAGCCGTAAGGTGTGGAGACTGAAAACTTGGGTGATCTGAAGTGCTCAAGGGACCATATGGAGGCCAAGAAACCCTGACCTGCTCCCAGCATGATAATTGAGGATTGACTTGTACCGAACCATCAGGACCCAATATAAAGTAAAGGTCTGTCTGCAAAGCCAGTGAGCCCTGTACAAGCTTTGCAGAGTGTATCATGATGAAAATTGTGAAAGGGAAGCTGTTTGTAAATAAATGGCTGCTGGAGAAAGAAGCAAAAGAAAAAATGCTAGACCTGTGCAGCCAAACCTGAATATGAGAAGTATATAGATTCCCTGCATACAGAAGTGGCTCTGTCTTTTTGAGAAAAGAGGCAACAAAACAAGCTAAGATGCCAAAGGCAATGGCTCTTTCATAACCAATAAAAAAATTTAAAAAAAAAAGAATTGGTAATTCCTTTAAAGTGTTATGGAACAGTACTTTGTCAGTGGCTCATCACATCCTAATGCAAAGGATACACCAAGAAAGTGCCTAGTACTGAGAACAGAAATGGCAAACAAAAGCTTATGAACCCTGGGACCGCTTCCTGGTGTCCCTTTAACACAGCTGATTGGGTCTTGCCAGGAAAGAAGACAGGAAACCTCAGCCAGTTATCCTCTGGAGAAGATAAGTGGCTACTTCCAAAGAAGGCCGAGGAAGTGTTACTTAATTTACCCCTACTGTGGAAATATAGCTTTCCCCAGGCTGTTATAGCCTCCCAGCAGCTTGTGATGTCTTTGCCTCTGTGCAGCTTAAAGTTGACAAAGAAAAGTGGTTGCATTGAGCTCCTCTACAGATGTGAAGAAATGGAGTACTAGCATCAAGCACCTTTTCTGCAAATTATCACACTTCCCGTGATGAACCAAGTGACTGCAACTTGCTAAAAACTATTGTGTTTCTGGGTGTTACCAGTAAGCTTAGTTCTTTTCCTGCCTAATTTTGAACTAGCAAAGAGAAGGAAGTAATCAAATTATGAGTTACTGTGTAAAAGAAATGGGCTATTTATCCATGCTGAGGTGATTCATTTTCTTCTTACAAAGTATCAACTTAATTCATCCTTAGTCTAGAAATGCAGCATCTTGGTGAATATTTCTTTCATAAGCCTCTGTGGCTCCTTAGATTAGGTTGTTACTAGTACATTAAGGCACTGTAGTTTTAAAAATGAAATAGTTCTATAATTAAGATGTTGATTAAAGCTAGTAAACTAGCTTGAAAAATGATAATTCTGAGAAAAATATATTGTTTCTAAATCTTTTTTGAGGTAGTACTTTTTTTTCTTAACACTAGGTTCAAGAAGTGGTCAAAATATGTGACTGTTTTAACTTTTTGATACATTTTATTAAAACAGTTTTTCAGAAATTGTCATTGCAGATTTTACTCTTGTGTTAGAATTAGCAATGGATGAGAATGGCTCATCACCACTTTTTAAAAATTTTTGTTAATACACATCAGAATTTATAACTTACTGAGAGATAATTAAGTAGTAGGGAAATACTCTTTTCCAGTTTAGAATTCTCTAAAAATGTTCATTTGTTTCCCCAAATTCATGCATAACATATGCCTTATAAAGTGTAGCTCTGAATTTTCAAACAGTGAGGGTTTTGTTTCTCGTTTTCATTATGTCAGATACCTGAAAGATGTTTTAGTTATTTTGTAAGCTGAGACCCATTTAGGTAAGTGGTTGAATTCACTGTGTAATAAGAAATATTTTGAGTTAGTTAATAGGTTAATTTTTTTTCACCAAAATAAAATCTTGGTGAAAATTTTTAAACTACTTTTGATACCCAAATACATATATTTTTGTTTCATAAGAAAACAGGAAACACTTGGGATATTTCTCTTTTAAAAAATACATGTGTTTAGTCTTAATAAAAATGAAGTGTATTATATTACAGTTTAATATATGGAATGTAAGTAGAATTAACCCAATTGAGTATAGTAAAACACTGTACTAATAACCATTTTATGTTTGTTTAGGTACAGATTTTAAAGTAAGCTTTATTTGTATTTTATAATTCTTAATCGACTCTACAGTTAGATTAAAATTCAGTAAAGACAACCTGATCCAAATAGTTGTCACCATTAAAAGCATAGTTACTTTATAATTACTACTGGTACAAGTATTGCAATTCATGCTTTTTTGTAGTTTTCTAATCTCATGGATATCTTTTTTTTTTTTAACCCTCACCTAAGGATATGTGTATTGGTTGTGGGGGGAGGGGTAGAAAGAAACATTGATGTGAGAGAAAAACCTCCATCAGTTGCCTGCTGTACCCTTCCCCACCCTGGGTTGAGCCCATAACCTTTTGGTTTCCAGGATGAGGCTCCAACTAACAGAGCAACCCTGCCAAGGCTCTCTTGAGTACCATAACTAACCCGAGATTTTTAGTACAAAGTGTACACCCAATTTAGAATAATAAATTGTGATTCAGAGAAGTGCATTGCTTAAATTTTATACCCTAATTGGTTGAGGTTTCAACCTAAAGCCTCTTCTCTCGGGGGTGTCCAATTTGTGAGACTGCACACTGCATGTGGCTCAGGATGGCTATGAATGCAGCCCAGTACAAAACTGTAAATTTTAAAACATTATGATCATAATGCTTAAAACATTGTGAGAGTTTATTTTTATTATATGGTACAATGTATTTAATGTGCTCAAGGCAACTCTTCTTCCAGGGTGGCCCAGAGATGCCAAAAGGTTGGACACCCTTAAACCTTTTCTCCCCCCAGTGTTTTCTGCTATTTAGTTTACTTAATTTTGTTCAGTTACTTGAGTTATTTATTTTAAGAATTCTCTGGAACAAATAAATGTGGTTTTACTCTTTCAAAATTTAATCATGCATTTTGAAAGAATGTTTGCTGGATACCAGTATTTACCCAACTCCTTTCCAATAATTTTGCATTAATTGTTGTGACACATTTGGACAACTGCTATGAAAATTAGCTAAATAGCAATTAACTTCCTTCAGCATAGTTTTAAATAAAAGATTCTTATATTTTTTATTTCAGTTTTGTGCTCCCTGATAAAATAACAGCTTTTAGTTTTCAGAAAATTTTCACACATATTATCCTCTCACTAAGTCCTTGTAATAATCCCTGTCATGAAACAGTATAGGAATTACAGTTATTTGAAAATTGAGGCACTTGGGTTCCAAAGAAATTAAATATCACAAGGTTACTTTGTTCCAGAAAAAAGACTAGAACTTGCATTTGTAAATTTAAAATATCATAGCCATTTAATGAATTTTATGGCTTTATTTTAGAAGTAATACCAAAAACTTTAAATGTGTTTTTTTAATTTAACAAAAGCTTATAAAAGTTTATACCTTTAAATAGCCCCTAATTCTAAATTATTTTAGAATGAGCCAGTGTAAGTGTTTTTGTCATTTTTAATTGGCTGTCACTGCTTCTTCTGAAATAATTATATGGTAATGGGAAAAGTTACAGCAAATAGCCATCTCACTTCTTTTTTAAAAAAAGAAACAATTAAAACTCTTTTAGGGCTTTCTGTTTTGTAGTATGCTAAGTATCACTTAACATTTATTTCTCAGAAATCAAGTGTTTATAAAATTTTAAAAGCATGTTTTTGACTGAGCACATTCCCTTTCTCTAAGTCTTACATGATTTTAATCTTTTGAAATAATCAACGAGTTCAGGCTACTTAGTTCATTCAGTACTCAACAAGGTCATGACTGCTATCTTTCTTTTTTTTTTTTTTTGATTTCCTGTTGTTACATAGTACAGAACAGTTCCTGGTATACATACCTTTCTTTTAACTTGCAAAAGAACACTTGTTGTTTTGTATTTTCTTCCTAATATTTTCTTCTTTTTTTGTGTACACTATCATTTTTAATTCTAACTGAAGGCTTCATTATAACTAGGTATCTCTTTTACCTGTCATGGTTAGTCTTCCAGTTCTTCCTAAGTTGTTTTCTATAAGAAAGCCCAGTTTGCTCATGAAGTTGTTTTTTTTTTTTTAATATTTTATTTTGACATGGTTCCCTAGTCACATACATTTGAGTTTTGGGAATTGCTATTCATAGTGATGGTAGTGGTACATTCTTATTGATTTGCTGAATACTTGTTAGAGTGAAAGTATCTATTTTTTTATATCCTGGTAACTAACGAGTTGGGGGTTGTTTCATTAGGCAACTGAAGAGGATACTCCCAGTTCTCTAGTGAAAGATCATCTTTTCCAGCAAGAGACAGTTGTTACCAGTGAGCCTTATAGAATCTCAAGACCTTCTCCCTTTGAAGATTTGAATGCTAGAAGAGTCTACTTGCAAAGCCAAGCCAATCAGGTGAGAAGCTAAATATTTTCCAGTGTGTTACTTACACGTATAGAAGTCGGATGTGTTAGACAAGGATGTTAAGGCCATCTGCCCTTTATCAGACAAAATTAACAAATAACAACAAGAAACCCAGGAGAATATGATTTATAATGAATCAAAGCCAGAAGAAGATAATAAATATGTAGGCCATAAAGTCCCCTACAGCTGTAATAATTGAGCCATAAATTTGACTTTAAGTTTTCAGTGACAAAGATGAAAAGGAGGAATGTATCAGTTACAATGCTTGTACACTATGTCAATTAATGTAGTTAAAATCCTACCCATTCTATCTACAGGCCAATCAAAATGGTTTTTAAAAAAATTTTAAAATAGTTGCTTCTTCCTGCTAGATAGTATCTGTAACATGTATTAGTATCCAGTGACATAGTGGCTCTACCTAAAGCCCAGCTGATTTCTATTGAATGATTCTCATTTGAACTGAAGACTTCAAACATGTAATTTGTTAGGAAAGAAATGTGCTTACACTGTAGATAAAGTGAGACAAATGAACAATATGATAAAGCATTTAGTTTAACAGATTATTAATATTAATTATTTTATACAATATGTAAGACCCTGTGCTTTAGAATCGACGGATAGAAAGGAAAATAAACCATGGTTTGTGTCCTGAGTGTTTCTGGCGAGGTAATAGATGCATTAGCATAGTGTTACGGGAGCACAGGAGAGGGGCATTGGACTCATTGTAGAAGGTACATATGCCTAAAATTTTTTTCTAGGTATGCCTAAAATTTTCAAGGCAGGAACAATTAACCAATTAAAGAGGGTGGGGCTGGTGATGAGGATTGGGGGGAAAGGACCACCAGGAGTAAGGGGATGAAGGTTTTAGAACAAGTATATTAGCTTGCTCCGCCATAACACAATAGCATAAAAAAGAAATATCTTTAGAGTTCTGAAGACTGGAATCCCGAGATTAGGGTGCCAGCATGGCTGACGTCCTAGTGAGGGCTGTCTTTCTGGATTACAGACAGCCACCTTCTCTCTGTGTCCTCACCTGGCAGAGACAGAGAGAGAAAACATTAAAGTGAACAAGCTCATTGGTGTCTCTTCCTGTAAGGGTGTCTCATTAGACCAGGACCACACCCTTCATGAACTGTTTTAAATAAAAGTCCCATTTCCAAATACCAACACCTTCAGCATTAGAGTTTCATATGAATTTTGTTGGGATATGAACATTTAGTTCATAATGGGAGCAACGTAAAGCAAAGGCATGCATGATCTAGGGCAGAGGTGTCAGACTCATTTTCACCAAGGGCTACATCAGCCTTGCAGTTGCCTTCAAAGGGCCAAATGTAATTTTAGGACTGTGTAAATGTAACTACTTCTTAACTAGGATCAAGGTGCTTGGTGCCACTCCAGTAGAAAAAGGTGTGGGCCCAGATAAAACAGTGGAGGGCCGGATTCAACCTGCAGGCCTCCACCTGCGGTGTTTGCCACCTGTGGTCTAGGGGAAAACCAGCATGGAGAATAAAAAAGAGAGGCAAGTAAGACAAGGGCCAGATTGTTGTGTTTTTGTGTTCTGCAAAAACACTTTGGGCTCTATTTTATTTGTTGCTTCACAAACCTGGGTACACAGTCATGTGCCAGATTTATGGAGTATCAGTTTTACTCAAAAACAAAAACATTCCCAAGTGGTACCAGTTTGCCTTTCCACAAGTGGTGGGAATTTTCCTGAACAATTGGTGCTGCCCGTTTTTCCTCTAAGTTACTTCATTTGGTGAAGTAAAGTAATATTTTATTGTGGCTTTCATTTATAGTTTCATGATTGATACTGATGTTGAACAACCTTTTTCCATTGCCTCTTGACCATTTAGAAATTGTTTTGTGAAGTTTCTGGGATTTTTATGCATCTTATTTTGAGTTACCTTTCTTTTCCTCATTGATTTATAGGCATTATTTTATTTATTTTAGAAATCATTTCTTTTGTTGGATATATATATATTGTAGGTATGTCTGTTGCTTGTGGTTTGCATTTTCACTCTTAATAGTTTCTTTTTCTTAATAAAAATTCTTTATGATCAATAATTATTCAAGTAGTTTATTCCATTATTTATTGTATTTTTTATTACCATTTATCCCCCTTATGCCCTCTTCCACCTCCACCCGCCCCCATCCCCCACAAACACCACACTGTCGTTCGTGTCCATGAGTTCTTTTTTGGTTTTGCTCAGTTCCCCTGAACACCCCCACCCAGAGCTGTCAGCCTGCTCTCCATCTGTGAGTCTGTCTCTGTTTTGCTTGTTAGTTCCGTTTGTTCATTAGATTCCACATATGAGGGAAATCGTATGGTATCTGTCTTTCTCTGACTGCCCAGGTCCATCCATGCTATCACAATGAGTAAATTTTTCCTTTTTACTGCTGAGTACTATTCCATTGTGTAAATGTAACATAGTTGTTGTAGCCACTCAGCTACCAGTGGACACTTGGGTGGCTTCCATGCCTTGACTGTTGTAAATAATGCTCCAATGGACGCAAGGATGCATATATTCTTTTGAATTAATGTTTTGGGTTTCCTTTGGATAAATCCCCAGAAGTGGAATCACCAGTCATAAAGCAGATCCACTTTTAATTTTTTCAGGTATTTCTTGAGAAACCATACTGCTTTCCACAGTAGCTATACCAATCTGCATTCTCACCAGCAATGCAAAAGGGTTCCTCTTTCTCCACATTCTGACCAGCACTCGTTATTTGTTGATTTATTGATGATAGCCATTCTGACAGATGTGAGATAGTATCTCATTGTGGTTTTAATTTGCATTTCTTTGATGATTAGTCACATTGAGCAATTTTCATATGTCTATTAGCCATCTGAATGCCCTCTTTTGGTAAGTGAGGGCCTTTGCCCATTTTTTAACAGGATTGTTTTGGGGGGGTATTGAGTTTTGTAAGTTCTTCATAGCACCATTTTGAGCTGATTCTGCAGTTATATCCTGGTATTGCTTAGCTAGTAATATATTTTTTCAAGGAGGAAGATGAATGAGTCGGCTTAGGGTAGGTTATTATAGCATAAACAGCTGTTCACTCCAGAGTTACAGGATGGACAGATTAGGCAGAGACTAGATAAGATAATGAGCACTTTATCCAACAGTACTGCTTTTAGACTGAGCTCTCATTCCAGTTTCTCACAAGCTTATGGCTTCCCTTTGTGTTCAGTGCCAGAGCCTGGTTTTATCACAGTTGTGGCTGTTTCAGAGGAGAGTTACTTGGCTAATCATCACAGCCTTTGAGTAAGGAGATGCTTCTTGCTGCTTTGTGTAAATTGGATCTGTGAGTTTTGCATTTCCTGCATAGACTTATTATTCTACTATTTTTCTTAAGGTCTGTTTACTTACTAGACTCAAACTAGGCATTAGGGAAAAATTATTCCCTGGATAGACATTTTTGCAGCAATGAGTAAGATTTTGGATTTTAGTCACAGGCAGATATAACTGTAGCTCTTGGCTTTTTAACTTACTCAGAATTACAAAGCTATTAATGCTCTCTGTCTTCCTGTTTCCTAATGTAAATAACAATAATAATAAAACTTCCACAGTATTATTTTAGGGATTTAAAAGTTTATTCATAGGGGTTAATATCCAAAATTTATCAAGAACATACAAAACTCAATACCAAAAAACAGTCCAATTAAAAAATGGGCAAAGGACCACAATAGACACTTCTCCAAAGAGGATATACAGATGGCCAACATTCATATGAAAAGATGCTCAATGTCACTAATCATCAGGGAAAGAAATTAAAACCACAATTAGGTATCACCTCACATCTTTCAGAAGGCTATCATCATAAATCAACAAACAAGTGCTGTTGAGGATGTAGAGAAAGGGGAACCCTTTTGCACTGTTGGTGGGAATGCAGATTGGTATAGCCACCGTGGAGAGTAGAGTAGTATAGAGATACCTCAAAAAATTAAAAATGGTTCTGCCTTTTGACCTAGTGACCCCACTTGTGGGGATTTATCCAAAGAAACCCAAAACACTAATTCAAAAGAATATATGCACCCTATGTTCATTTCAGCACTACTTACAACAGTCAAGATATGGAAGGAACTCAAGTGTCCCTCAGTACCTGAGTGGCTAAAGCAACTATGATACCTTTACACAATGAAATAGTACTCAGCTGTAAAAAAGAGAATTGTGCCGTTTGTCACAGCATGGATGGACCTGGGTAACATTACACTAAGTGAAACAAGCCTGTCAGAGAAAGACAAATACCGAATGATTTCCCTCATGTGAAATCTAATGAACAAACTGAACTAACAAAACAGAAACAGGCACATAGATGGGGAGTGGGATACAGCTGGGGGGACAGAGGTAGGGAGTGAAGGGATTGAGCAAAAAGGAAAAAGGACACATGGACAACAGTGTGGTGATTGCTGGGTGGCAGAGAGTAGGAGGGGACTAAATGGTAATGGAAAAAATACAATAAAGATTAAATTAAAAATATAAATAAAATGTAGACATTTAAAAAGTAAAATCAAAATGCCTGGCAGTAGTAGTTCGTTGCAAATCTATAGTAATTCTCTGTCTGCTATGTTAAGAAGCGGGATAAAATCCAAACAGGAATGACATTGGAAACCCACACTGTGCAGGGAAGAATAGCCATTTACAGAATCACTTTAGAACATTGACCTTCCTTTCTTATAAAAAATATAAAGCATACATTGTAATTCTCCCAGTTTCTAATTCGTTGGTTTCTGTGGTTGTGGGAAAACTGTAATTTTATCATATTGTTAAAAGTTTATTTCTGGTCCTGGTTGGTGTGGCTCTGTTGGTCAGAGCTTCATCCTACAACCAAAAGTTTGCAGGTTTGATCCCCAGTTCGTGCACAGGTGTGTGCAGCCCCTGGTCCAGCCTCAAACAAAACCCAGTCTCAGCACATCAGGAGGCAACCAATTCATGCTTCTCTCTTGCATAGATGTTTCTCTGTCTCTTGAAAAGCAATTTTAAAAAATC